AGCCTGCTTCTCCCTCCCCCACTCCCCCTGCTTGTGTTCCCTCTCTCGCTGTGTCTCTCTCTGTCAAATAAATAAATAAAATCTTTAAAAAAAAAAGTCTGTGTCCAGACCAAAAGGCCCTCCTGACCCCTGCTGCTATGGTCCCTAAATGTCCTCTGCAGTTAACTTCAAATTTAGACTCTTTGGTGATTCTGAATACTTCATTGGTAACTGAACTTAATTTCTCCAACAGTTATTCTTACCTTTCTAATATAATATATACTAAGTACATCATTTTATTACTTGTTTTCTGTTCCCTTTGTTCCGTTTCTCTGCCTTCTTTTGGCTAATTTGAACATCTTCTAATATCCCATTTTTTTAAAAAAAGATTTTATTTATTTGACAGAGAGAGACACAGCGAGAGAGGGAACACAAGCGGGGGTAGTGGGAGAGGGAGAAACAGGCTTCCCGCGGAGCAGGAAGCCTGATGCGGGGCTTGATGCGGGGCTCGATCCCAGGACCCTGAGATCATGACCTGAGCCGAAGGGAGACGCTTAACGACTGAGCCACCCAGGCGCCCCCTAGTATCCCATTTTAACTATTGTGTTTATGACAGTATCTATTTGTATACTTTTTTTTTAGTAGTTGCTCTAGTGATTGCAATAAACATAATTTACTTTCCACAGTCCACTTAGAATCAGTATTTTACTACTTCAAGTGGAATGTAGAACTATTACCCCCAAATAAATCCCTTTATCATCTCCCCACACTTTTGTTATAGTTGTTTTATGTATTAGAATCATAAACCCTATCAGGCAGTGTTAATAATTTTTACTGTCAATAGTAAATATTTTTATTTTTTTTAAGATTTTTAAAAATTTATTTGACAGAGAGAGACACAGTGAGAGAGGGAACACAAGCAGGGGGAGTGGGAGAGGGAGAAGCAGGCTTCCCGTGGAGCAGGGAGCCCGATGCAGAGCTCGATCCCAGAGTCCTGGGATCATGACCTGAGCCGAAGGCAGACGCTTAAGGACTGAGCCACCCAGGCGCCCCAATAGTAAATATTTTTAAAATTACTCAAGAGAATAGTCTACTATGTTTACTCAGATATTTACCATTTCTGTTCTTCTTTCATTCTTGATGTTCCCCATTTCCTTCAGGTATCATTCCCCTTCTATCTGAAGAACTTCCTTTAGCAATTCTTTTAAAGCGGGACTGTTGCCAAAAAATTCTTTTGGTTTTCCTTCTCTAATAATGTCTTTATTTTACCTCTACTCCTGAAGAATATTTTCACTGGATATAGAAGGGTATTTCTTGATAGGGTAGGAGAAAAAAATCCCAGTGAGGTGCGACTATCAAATGACCATCGCTTACCTAATCACAATACCTGGAAGATGAAGTACTCTGATTCCAGTCTAGGTCATATAATAAAAATTTTGACACTTTCCCTCCTTGATCGATCCATTTGTGATGTTCAACTCTTAGAACTTCCAAATTATGTAAGCCAGTAGATTCTCTCTCTCTTTTTTAGTTTTATTTATTTATTTTAGAGAGGGGGGCGACGAGTGTGAGCAGGGGAGGGGAGGAGAAGAGGGAGAGAGAGAGAGAGAATCTTCAAGCAGACTCCCCTCTGAGTGTGGAGCTCTACTCAGGGCTCAGTCCCAGGACCCTGACATAATAGATTCTCTTTGTACTTGACCTACTTTGATTTGGTTTTCTGTCATTTGCAGCCAAAATCTTGTCTAGTAAATGTATCCATGAGCAATTGCTGACAACAAATGTGTTTTATTTTCTAAGTTAACATAAGTTGGTCTAAGCAAGATAAAGCAGTTGAGTCTTTAAGTTGTGTAGACTCTTGTTTCTAATAAATGAATGACTTGTACAAGTAAAATATATCAATGAGAGATAAACCCTAGCTTTTGTGTAACAACTTCAGGAGAACTGGAGCACTGAGTGCACATCCCTGCTTCTGATAATAGGACCAAGAGAAAAAAAAAAAACATGATAAAAAAGACTGAATCCTCATCCCAGGTGAGGACTACCACTGAGTGTGCAAACTGCTTTTTCATGGGGGCAGTTACCTAATTTTTGAGACATTAATTTGTATTGTTGCATACTTCTCCTCCCTTGCATCTTTGTCAGAGGGATTTTGGTAGGACCCAAAGCAGAAGCTGTTGGAAGTCAAGAGCTGTCTTATGTTTTGTGAAAATTCAACCTGACTGAAAAGATTATGAAAATATCCAGGGAGAGGGATACCTGGGTGGCTCAGTTGGTTAAGCGTCTGCCTTCGGCTCAGGTCATGATCCCAGGGTCCTGGGATAGAGTCCTGCATTGGGCTCCTTGCTCAGCAGGGAGCCTGCTTCTCCCTCTGCCTGCTGCTCCCCCTGCTTGTGTGCTCTCTCTCGCTCTCTCTGACAAATAAATAAATAAAATCTTTCAAAAATGTAAAAAAAAAAAAAAAAAAGAAAGAAAATATCCAGGGAAGGAGTGTGTGTGTGTGTGTGTGTGTGTGTGGTTAAGAAGACAAAGAAGTGCCTTAGAGAAAACCAAGGAAGAAAAGATTTCAGAAGGCTAGGAAGCGAGTGAAGGTCTATAGTTTTGTGATTTGAGACAACCTGCACCATGTTCTTTGACAGCACCATGGGGAGAGGGCTGGACCCTGAGCATAAGGAGTTTTATCCTCAATGAAGATGCTCATGCCCTAAGCCATGGGTCCTGATGAGATCATGCAGATTGGGGCAATGGCCATCTCTGTGGTAACCAATCTGGACTATTGAGCCAATCGCTGCAGAGCCTCCCTGATGCTTTAATGGTGGATAAGACCCATCCTAGGATATATACATATCTCTGGTGGAATTCTTGGGAATGCCAATAATGACTAAGATTACGTTTTCTGCCAGTGTAACAGCATGAGGCTTCAGGTTTGGATTTAAGTTCATTACGAGAAAATAAATGTTATTTTCTCCATACCTGAATATGCCCTAAAATTCATCCCTGTTACTTCTGGATGAAGCACCAGACCGCAACTTAGTTCCTTGACTTACCACTTTTGAATAAGTATCTGAAGAGAGAGGCTCAATAGCAGTCAAGCCATAGTCCTAAAATTCCCCCAGAGTTCACCCATAATCAGTGGTATTCATACCCTTAGGAAAACACCTAAATATTAAGATATCCTGCTTTGGGTCCAGAGTAGGAGTTCAGAAAGAATGAGAATTAATCCACAACTTTATTCTTTGTATTCTATATCTCCCTAAAAAGGCTTCTTATATATTTCCCCCAACCATAACCTTCATCACTTTTGTAATGGAAAAAAAGCCCCATAAATTTATTGAAAAAAATCAAGAGTCAAAGAATGATCCAAAATAATAGTATGAGATTTCACCAGATAATTAGTACACAGCTAATTGCCAATAACGATCTGCAGTAGAGAGAATAAGAATGAGTCACAAATCTGTTTGTCTCCTTGATGAGCCCTTTTCCCTCTTCAACATTCTTTAAGCTAAAGAAAATTTTTATTTTTTTAAAAGATTTTATTTATTTATTTGTCAGAGAGAGAGAGCAAGAGAGAGAGCGAGTGTACAAGCAGGGGGAACGGCAGAGAGAGGGAAAGAGAGAAGCAGGCTCCCCACTGAGCAGGGAGCCCAATGCAGGACTCGATCCCAGGACTCTGGGATCATGACCTGAGCCGAAAGCAGACGCGTAACTGACTAAGCCACCCAGGCATCCCTAAGCTAAAGAAAAATTTCAAAAAGCACCCAAATTATGTGTAACATCCTGTCTCAGGACAACTATTTGAAATATATATATACATATATACATATATATATATATATATATACTTTTTTTTCTGGTTATCAAACACACAAATTGCAATGAAACTTTCTGTGTAGGTCTTTCTCTGCATCTCTGCCTGACATGTACTTTCTTTCTGTTTCTGGAACTGTAGGTCTTTGTCTCTCACAGCTTATCTCCTAGTACTTAACACAATACTGGGCAGGGAGTCACTTGATA